AATTTGGTTTGACACGACACGCTAGTAATACAAACCTGTTTAATCCTACTAATGTTATTGTTCAAAATTCATGTGTGGTTTTCTTAATAATGTGTAAAATAATGTCCCTACCTAATATGTTCTGCTCTCAGGTCTGTATTTACTTGGTTGAGATTTTAATTACATTTTTAACTTGGGCATCGCATCTGCTCTGTGACAATCTGTTGGCACTGTGCCAGAATAAATAAGTCCACTAAGAATAAAGAATAATGATCTGACTATTGCTTCATTAAAGCACCCTAAGTGTTCAGTAGCCACTTGCTGAGATATACTTTAGTTGTCACAATGAATCAGTTCACTTCCTTTAACTTTTGTTACAAGTTTCCAAACTTGCAGTAATTTGTTCTTTATTTAATACATACGGAAGACAAAACAGTTATAACTATTTTTGATCTTATCCAATCACAGCTTTGTATATATTATTTTTGTTTACTTATCTCGAGCTACCAATTATGCATTGTCTCAATTAATCAACACACTTTTAACATTTTGTCATCTTTGTATTTTGTAAGTTATGTGTTTACCCCTTTACTTCCATTTCCTACCTCATGACAAGCAAGAACGTACTTGCTTAGTTAAAGTTGCCCTACTTGTCCCAAATTTTTTGTCAATATTTCTGAAATTTAAATTTCTCTTCATTTTAAACTTGCTCACCAGGTGCAACTTATTGATTCTGTAATAAAAGTTGACCTTTCTTACTTCTGCTGCTTGAACAGTTAATATACTCACATATACATTTTTATCCAAGCAATTGTGTCACGTGGGGAAAGTGCAAAAATCATGATAACATTGTGGTCACATGGCCAAAAAAACATGCTTCAGCACTGACTGCAGGGTATTTCCTGGAATATGCTAAAAAATAAAGTTAATAAAATAATTTTATACAGTTTATTAATTTTAAAAATACTTAGATCATGTATTTATATATATATATATATATATGATCTAAGTAAATATCTATACACACACTTTCATTCTCTGTGTGTTTTTATATATATATATATATATATATATATATATATATGGCTTGGCCTGTAATTGTGGGAGGTACATGGAACCCTATTTAAACCCAGTAAGTCCCTGCTTACCTGTCATCGACGTTCTTGGAAGTTTACTTCCGGTTCACAGGCAGTCCGCTTGCAAAATTTCTCTGCTTGGAGTTCGTGATATAGCTAAAGATGCCATAGAACGGCTACCAGTAAGTTACAATCTATCATTTTCGTACGCAATCATATACTGGTCTGACTCACTCATCTAACTTTGCATTTGTTTCTATACGCCTACATACAAGTCGGCTAAACTTGCATTTCTCGTTAAGCTGTCAGCTGCAGCTTGCTGTTTTCCTGCCGGTCAGTACAAACTAGCATTGGACTGTTTTAACAGCAGCTTACGTTTTCTCATAAGCATTATGGACGAAGCGCCAGTAGTTACCCCAGCGCACATTACTCGTTACGGTGAGTCAGGCAGTTCCGTTCATACTATGTCAGGTGTCCGTTTTTGCATATAATTCGTGTGTATTTCCCATTCTTATACATACAGAGGCCTGTCATGGGAACACTCTAATACATCCTTTCGTTATTTCTAGCATACTTTCGTGTAATATTTGGCAAGCTTTTGTTCATGTGCATAGGAACTGTCATTGCTCCGTTTGTTACTTTCATGGGGGTTATATAAACTGTCATTGTTAAACATGCTGGTTTCACTCAGTCATAGCAGCAATAGCCAAGTTTGTTTACACAGCGCTGGCATGTAATCATTCATTATAATGTCCTTTGCCTGCGTTCTAATTTCTAATATACATACTAATTAGTTTACTACAGTTTTCTCCTTAATGCATAGTTATGTGTTTTACTTTGTTTATTAGTTATACGGGTTAAGTTTTGCTCAGCGCTGTCTTGCGCTTTTCTTATCACTAACCACACCATTCAAAAAAACTACCCTGTGTTAAAGATTATACAATTTACTGACACTGCTTACAAACGGGCCTCCTTGGTTAAACACAACTACGGCAGTTAAAGAGGTATGCCTCCATTCACCTGCCCAGTTTTATGTACTTCTTCTGACAAACTAGTACTAATTATAAATAGGTCACATTTCTCTTTTTCCCACATTAATGCTGGTTATCACCCTAACAGGTCAAGCCAAATCCTCTTAACAAGTAATCTACGTACACGGTTAGTATCTAGCCTTATACTTGGCGGGGCAATTTCAATGATTTCACCTGGTGGTTAGGTTGTAACTTAATTTTAAGACATATTTTAGGTTCAAGTAAGGATCATTCATCCCACTTCAGTATACGTTGTAGAGGACTATCAGCAGGTACGTTAACTAATTAAATCCCTGGTCAGCACTTACATTCAGAGGTTCGTGCCCAGTCGTCCCAATGCTTAGTTCTTGCCTTGCATCAAACTATAGTTAGGGCCTCACCCGTCACGGCCAGTTGATATTACATTCTTTTACGTGTCACCGAGAGGCCAACACCCGCCACCCACCTCAGTGGCACAAAGGCCCTGTGAGCCAAATTATAGGTAGTGCCTCTCAAAGCCACTTGGCAAGTAGTCGGGGCCTCACCTGTCACCAACATAAGCTAGTTAATACAATTTTGCCTGTTGGCACTACTCCAGTAAGCTGGGTCAGGCTCACAGAGAAGGCAACACATTCCAGCAAGTCCAGCTTCCAGCTATAGATCCTGGACAATCCCTAAAATCACCTCAGAACTCAAAAAGAGGATTATCCCTTTCCCAACTACAGCCAGGAAAGCTGAACTATTTTGTTTGTTAAGCACTACCGAGGACAACGAAAGGCCTGGCCCTAGTTCCGAGTTTAATGTGCAAAATAGCCTGGCTGAGTTGCACGTCATGATGGCCTCCTTTGTTTCTTCAGTAGCGACTATTAATAATAGGTTGGATACTCTGGAGTCAAATAATGTTCTAACCGTTCCAAAGATTCAAGGGCCAGTGGCCCAGCCTGAGCCTATCCCAGGAGGTAACGTTAACCCTCTACCAGCTAAAAAAGCTACCAAAATTATAAATCCTATTCACCTCATTCCTCAGAATCTAAGACGAGACATAATAGAGGGGAAGGACATTAACTTGGTGTAACGGATCACCTGGCACCCCAACTGGGTACCTCCGTTGAAGGATGCTCCTAGCGCTTCCTGAGGACTCTTAGCACTGCAACAGACACCACAACCACCGCAGACTCCGCAACCGCTGTAGCTTGACTGGAGTCTCGCCGTCTTCCTTCCACCCTGGATCAGTTTCTGTACTCCAGGACCGTGTGGGAAAGACCTCTTCCTTCCACCCTGTATGAACCTCCAGCATCCAGGACTGTGTGGGGAAGATCTCTTCTCCAAGGAGAGCGGGTCAGGAACAAGCTCTTAAAAGAGCTAAGTGATTCAAGCTCAGGGGAGTATGCAGAGCATAGCAATCCCCAGTGTGATTATAACAGCTCCCTCCAATAACGAGACAAGGCTACATTTAGAGGGATCAAGAAGAACTGTCTAAACCTTTATTTCCCTTGGGACCAGCCCATAGGGTCACAACATTAACATTGCTGTGAAAACGCAATAAAATCACAAACAGTCAAACCATAGCAGGCAACACACAGTGACTTATCACAACACAATGGCACATTTTTAAAGGGGTGGGGGAGACAAGAAAATATCTCACGTGTCTGCAGAATTAGCAATATGCAAATCAACCCAAATATGCAAATGAACCAGTCTTGCTATTTAGGTAGTGCATATTGCTGTTGCTACCAACAGAGGGCACTAGACAATTTCCATAGCCAAACCCACCTAGTTGGTAGCAAACCTCAGCAGTACAGGAGAGCAGGCAATACATTACACAGTACACACACACACTATAAACAATTACATTACACACACCCTGCACCTATAATGGGTACAGGGTGACTAAAACATAAGAGAAATAAAGCAACCTACATACATAGTCTGTCTGAAGGTAGAATAGGGGCTTTAAATCCAAATACATCAAAGAGTCATAGTCACAGGGGAGGAGGCTGGCAAGCAGGCTTCTCCAGGACCAAGTGGCGAAGGGCACTTCGTCACACTAACTATAAGATAAGGCCAGGGACTAATCAAAGTATTTAGAAAATTGAGCAGACTAGATGGGCCGAATGGTTCTTATCTGCCGTCACATTTTATGTTTTTATGTTTCTATGTTTCCATGTTTTATGATAGGTCCTTTCACAACTCCGCCTTTCACATCCTGGAGGACAAACCCCCTAGGAATAGCCACAGGGAAGTTTAACAATAAAAAGAGACTCATTATTGATTTTTCTGCACCTCACTCATTCACTACACCTTGCTTAAATGCACTGATTCCTTCCGATGATTTTTCACTTCAATACGCCAGAATTGACGATGCTACACAAGCCATCATTCATTCGGGAAGGTTGCCTGGTTAAGTAAAACCGACATAACTAACGCTTTTAAATTACTTTCCATTCATCAGTCACTCTGGCATCTGCATGGAGTTAAGTGGCAAGACAGCTACTATTTCGCTACCAGACTAACCTTCAGCTCCAAAAGTAACCCCAAGTTATTAGATATTTTCGCCAAAACTTTAACCTGGCTTCTACTGAACTTTTGCAGATGTCCAGTAGTCAAACACTACTTAGATGACTTCCTCACCATTGAACCACACCACTGCACACCACACAGCTTTAATCACATGCTCACTCTCTTTAAAGATTTAGGAGTCCCTGTAGCCATGGGCGTAGGAACCCCAAAAAATCTGGGGGGGGATAGCATTTTTACTCGCCAGGTATATTCTTATTCCGTAAACTATGAGTTGTTTATCCCATTGCACAGCGCTACGGAATTTGCAGTTGCTATATAAATGATTAAATAATAACTTTAAAGGGTCACTACAGGGAAGGGATTTTACTTACCTGGATACAGCGCTGGTATCCTCCTGATGCTGCGCCCCCTATTTCTATTCAGAAGCGTCATTGCTCTCTGGTGCGCATGTGCAGCTTTGCCGCACATGCGCAGATACTTCATAGGGCGGCATTCATGTCTCGACTAGGAAGCACCTCTAGTGGCCATCTGAGTGTCCACTGGAGGTATTCCTCATCAGTAATGTAAATACTGCCTTTTTACGAAATGGCTGTGCTTACATTAAAAAGCCTGTAAAGACATGCTATAGACACCAGAACTACTATGTTTAGCTGTTGTGGTTCTAGTGACTATAGTGTCCCTTGAATATAGAGAGGAAAAAAGAATCATCACAAATGTAAGAAATAAAATGTCTGGATGATGATGGGCTCTAGCTGCAGTCTGGCTCCACTGGTCTGGTGTAGAACAGACTCTCTGGAGGCTGTTTGTAACTGTGGTCACAAAAATCAATGTTCTGGGAGAACGGGAAGCAGCTCCATTTTTTTCGGCGCCCTTTACACAGCTCAATGTCTGGGTCCCAGGGTCCACCTTCATGTTCCACCAATGAGTTTGTTCACAGGGGGTGGAGTGTGTAGGGGATGTCCTGATATGTGTGTAAGGAATGCAGTGTGTGCGTCTGTAAGGGGTGCATTGAGTGTGTGTACGGGGTGCATTTAGTGTGTGTAAGGAATGCATTGTGTGTTTCTGTGTGTGTAAGATTTGCATGATTGTGCGATTGTGTGTGTGTGTGTGATGGATGTCAATCTCTCTCCCTCCCTTGTCACTCTCTTTCTCCTCCTCCCTCCCTCCCTTGTCACTCTCTTTCTCCACCTCCCTCCCTTGTCACTCTCTTTCTCCCTCCCTTGTCACTCTTTCTCCCCCTCTTTCCCTCCCTTGTCACTCTCTTTCTCCCCCTCCCTCCCTTGTCACTCTCTTTCTCCCCCTCCCTCCCTAGTCACTCTTTCTCCCCCTCATCACTCTTTCTCTCCCTCCCCCTCCCTTGTCACTTTCTCCCCCTCCCTTGTCACTCTTCTCTCCCCCTTGTCACTTTCCTCCTCCTCCCTCCTCCCTTGTCACTCTCTCCCTCCTCTTCTCCCTCTCTCCCTTGTCACTCTTTCTCCCCTTCTCCTTCTCCCTCTCTCCCTCCTTGTCCCCCCTCTCCTTTCTTTCTCCCCTCTCTCCCTCCCTTGTCACTCTCTCCTCCCTCCCTCCCTCCCTTGTCACTCTCTCCCCCTCCCTCCCTCCTCCCTTGTCACTCTCTCTCCTCCCTCCCTCCCTTGTCACTCATTCTCCCCCTCCCTCCCTCCCTTGTCACTCTTTCTCCCCCTCCCTTGTCACTTTCTCCCCTCTCCCTCCCTGCCACTCTTTCTCCCTCCCTTGTCACTCTCCCTCTTCCCTCCTCACTCTTTCTCCCCCTCCCTTCTTTCTCCCCTCCCTCCCTTGTCTTTTCTCCCCCTCCCTCCCTCCCTTGTCGTTCTTTCCCCCTCCCTCCTCTTGTCACTCTTGCCCCCTCCTCCTTGTCACTCTTTCTCCCCCCTCCCTCCTTCCTCCCTTGTCGCTCTCTCCCCCTCCCTCCCACTTTCTCCCCTCCCCACCTCGTCACTTTCTCCCCTCCCCACCTCGTCACTCTTCCCCCTCCCCTCCCCCCCACCTCAGTTGTAGTGTGGCCGAGCCCAGTATAGTCCGCGGGTACAGGGAGCTTTTGTTTCCTGTACCCGGCCGGACTAACAGGAAGTGCACACTCAGTGTGTCCGGCCGGCCGGGTGAGACTGGGTACCCTGGACTATACTGGGCTCGGCCACGCCCAGTGACAGCCCCTCTCCTCAGCTGCAGCATGGGGGGGGCGGCGGAGCTGGGGGGGATTTCCCCATAACCTGTCTCCCCGGCATGATTTGCTAGGGGGGATGTGTCTCCCCCACCCCCCCCCCCGGTTCCTACGCCCATGCCTGTAGCTCAGGACAAAACAGAAGGTCCCAACACAGAGATTACTTTACTGGGGATTACACTCAATTCTGTTTCTATGCAGGCCAGCCTGCCCCAAGAAAAAGTAGATAGAATTCTTTCCCACAAGGCACTTGCACCAGGAAACAGCTACAGTCACTACTCGGTTCACTCTATTTTGCAATGAGAATAATTCCTCAGGGCAGGTCTTTTATTTCCAGAATCCTCTCTCTTTTGCACGGCGACTCCACAACTCCAATAGATGAGTCAGCTAGAGCTGATCTAAAAATGTGGCAGCTGTTCCTGTCCTCTTGGAATGGCAGGTCGTTATTTGTTCCCCCCATTTCTGACGATTCCCCGGTGGTTTGGACTGACGCATTTGGGAACAAGTGGGTATACGACTCTTGGCCAGTTGAAACCGCCTCGCTTGAAAGTTTCAATACCACCTCAGCACTATTTGAAATCTACCCAGTCGTAGCAGCTGCACACTTTTGGGGTAAAGAGTGGAAAGTCAGATGCTTTTCCGATAACTTAGCGATGAGTAATATCATTAATAAAGGCCACTCTTAGTCCCTCACGATTATGAACTTAGGACACGTCTCCTTTCGAACAAATCACAAACCTAAATATCAAGTCCGCGGCTTACATAGCCTTCTATGATTTCTTGAGACCCAAATCATTTTCTATGGAGAAGGCATCCGACTCCAAGTCATGTCTTCAGAAGAAACACCTAATTAAAAAACAGGACCACTACATTTTATCTATTACTCATACCAAAACGAGCCAAACAGGTCCACCAGTAGAAATCAAATATTATCCTACCTCTACTAAATGGTGTCCGATCCACGTATTGGATAGGCTAGTAAAATCTCAACTTACTACCAACCCTGATTCCCCACTATTAGCTATTCAAGGGAAACCCCTAACCACTAAACAGTTTATGCTTTACATTCGTATGATATTACTCTGGCTAGGACATAACCCACACTCCTTCTCAGGCCATTCATTCCCCATTGGAGCAGCCACAGCTGCCTCAGGTAATCACGTACCAACTCACATCATTAAAAATATGGGTCGGTGGAAATCATCCGCATACAACAGATACATCCCCAATCCTGAGAAAGAAATAAGATTGGCTTTCCGTGAAATGTCTAGATAATGTATTGCTTAATAAACATATCTGTCTTTAAGAATCGCTTCTTATATTTTTTGCCCTCTTTTACAGGTCTAACCGCACGTCAGTTTGGGCACACCTCAACTGACTTTGCTCTTACTAATACTGCTTCTTTTATTAGTATTGTTTCCTTAGGTCCTCGGAATGTGTCGTACACAAATAGAAGGCTTGGCCTGTAATTGTGGAAGGTACATGCAACCCTATTTAAACCCAGTAAGCCCCTGCTTACCTGTCATCGACGTTCTCGGAATTAGACCTCCCACCGCACCCTCTATCTATTATCATATCTCCTAGATGGGCCCTCTTTTACAGGTCTAACCTCACGTCAGTTTTGGCACACCTAGACTGACTTTGCTCTTACTAATACTGCTTCTTTTGTTAGTATTGTTTCCTTACGTTCTCGGAATGTGCCGTCCACAAATATATATATATATATATATATATATATATATTGTGACGAGACCAATCTCGCCACATTGCATTGGAGAAGCCTGGTTGCTCGCCTGCTGCCTCTGGACTATGGCCCCTCTGTTAAAAGACTTTGTTTAGCCTGCAAAAAAGCTGTATTCGTGCTTTTCTGCCGGTTGTTCGGTAGATTCAATCTACCGAACAACCGCACGAATGAATAGACCACCTGGGAGCTGGAGTGTGCCGGCAATTAACCTCCCTGAAGCTGCAGTTAACCGCAGCTTAATTGACGGATGCTGGGTGGCCGCCATTCGTATCCCGAACACGAGGTCGCTGCCATTTTAAACATACGAATGCACAGCGGTGTTCGCCTCTATTTTCATGGAACTAAAATCGGACACAGTTTTTCGGTAGTTTTGTTTGAATGTGTTATACCCCAGATAGGAATTCCATGGAGCCCATTCGTATGAAACTGACTGTAATGACTTTGGCTCCATGGCGATTAAACTGTATTCGTGTGGTCTGAGCGCCATTCGCTTAATAATGTGCGCTCAGACCTGAGCTATCTGGGGACATGTTAAATGTATAGTTTTAATGTAATGTGTCTTACCTGGTGTATTTTAACAGTAATGCTTGTTTTAGTATCCCCACGTGCATAATGGCGATTTGCCTTTGTCTTGGGAGATAATTGAATTACTTCTCAATTATCTCCCAGGGCAGAGGGGAGGAAGCCAGGATGCATTGTGGGAATATATTGTGACTGTGTGTCCTATTTGTCTACTTGTCTGTCCTTTGTCACAGTCTCCCATTTGGTCCCCTAGGGGAGTGTCCACCAGGTGGGAGACCTGCATAAATACTTGGCAGGTAGCCCTCATTAAACAGACTACTGCTTGACCCTCAACATGGAGCCTTGTCTCGTCTTTGGGGGGATTTACTGAATGCTGCTAGAGACTGATTGCTAGGAGTGTAAGCCACTTGGATGCTTTTCCTATTCGTCTGGTAGCAGCAATTCGTATGGTTCCTGTTCGTGTATTTGGAGTGCTGTATTGGATGCTGTTCGGGAGTTTACAGCATTCACTTATTGGCGGTTCGTGTGTTTGGTGTTCTACAGTAGCTGTGCCTGCATCTCGCCTAAACGGTTTTTACCCCTTATGTGCAAAACGGTCCGTTACATATATATATATATATATATATTATTAAAATACACTTAGAATGACATTATTTCTCTCTTTCAGTTTCAGAAAAAATAAAGCACCCCTGGACTGTATCAAATTCAGTGTTACTTGTGAAATGTTCAAGTCCCACAGGGTACGTTTCTATTAACCACACACCAATAATAGTTAATATAGAAAGAATTATTTAAGTAAGCACAACTTGTATGTATTAAAATATGGCAATACCTTAAAAAGTCACAACATTGGAAATTTGGTACATCATACATTCTTAACAATCTTTTTATTGTAACAAGTGCATGGCAAGGACAACATTTCAATCACTATACTAGTTTTTTACAATTTACAATGCTGTGAGCTCATTAAATATGGTGAATCTCATTCAATAGACAGAAAGAAGTGTGACCACTAAATCCATAATCACATGATATTAACACTATAGTAACACCACTGATAACATGATCAAAACAACAGGCACATGGGCATCCCACTATTTTAACATTTAAACATGAATCAACATGTTTCACCCAGTGTGGATAAAAATAGTACCCAAAAACAAGTATTACATAAAAAAGCTATGTTTCTTAACTTGTATTAACGAAATAATAAAAACAAAGTATATAATAAAAAATGTGTAGACTAATTTGGAAATACTGTGGCAATAATTATGTTTAGGAGACATCATGTATCCAAACACAGATCCACCATATGTATGAGAAACCTTGATTTACCTATATTGTACAATTTTTGGGCAGCTAAACATAATTTGTTCCATTAAGCTTTAACATGGTTAAGTAGCACTAACTACATGAGGGGAATATAGTTTGAGACACCTCAAACAGAGGAAGCTCTATTGAGTTGAATTTCATGGTATAACTTTGAATAAATAGAGAGGGATAATGACCTTTTCTGTAGATATATTTTATATTTTCTAGCCTGAATGTGCTTTTATGTGCTGGTTGAGTTGTGTGTGTGCTGTCTGGATTATTTATTTATGTGTACAGGAGTCTGAGTGTGTCTGAGCATTATGTGTGTCATATTTAAGTGTGTATGTGTAAGTTTTAAATTTACACCCTCCTGCTTGCCTTTTGTGGAGTCAACAAAAAGTGAGGGGACCATGATGGAGTTCATAAAGAGGTCTGCACCATATCGGTGCAGACCATAACACTCCCTTAGTAAAGTGAAAAGACTCAGAGCTAAGTAGGGAGATCTTTTGATCTCCCTGACGCCTCACTGTCATAACCAGAGATCAAGGCCCAGACAGGAACCTACCTAGGCTTTCTAATGGGTAATTCACTTCTGGTTTATATGGAAGAAAAAGGTCAATTGTTTATACTTGCCTCTCAGGTCAAAAGTTGCCAACTCTGGTGATTCCCTGGTCCCTGAAGGAGATTCCTTTATAGTATATTAGCTTTTTATATGGCATATTAAATAGTCTGTATTTATTCACACCGTTTTCACCAATTATACCTTTCTCTGTCACATATGTCTCTTGACTATATTATGCAATAAATGTATGCTTCTTCAATACATGCAGAGTACACTCCGAGGTCTGCTATTTTTATATACCTGTCTTTATCACATTTGCTTTGCTGTGTTTCAATTGCATGTCTTACTTTGTCTTTTACAAATGCAAACCTTTTCACCTAGGGCTCACTTTTTTATATCAAATGTTTGTTTTCAGTTTTATATATTTTTGTGTAATGCACGATACACATACAGAAAACACTATGTACATATTTTAAGTGCAAACATTTTACCAATAATCTCCACAAAATGATATCACAATCAGCTTAAATAGCATTATATAACTTCAATCTTATTGAGTCATTTTTTTTTAAGAGGAGAAAATGCACATTAAATTGTAGCTGATGAGCAAGAATAGTCCAGTTTACTAATAAAGTAATGATACAATGAGTTTTGCTGCACATTTTTCCATTTTGAGGTATTTAGAATTACAATTCACGTGCTGGCATTTTTAAATGCCAGCATTGTGTATGAGTTGTCAGCAGCAAACTGTAGCATAGGCGTTTTTGAACGGAAAATCTTGCAGCTGTTAAAATATGTGTTCATTTCCTGGATGAAATTTTCAGACGGCAGTAACCTTTTGTGCAGTTACTGACGGAAATTATACATTTCTACTTTGCATAGTATAATTGCTGTCACTTCAGCCAGGTTCACAGGGGTTATTTTCCTGGAGGGACAGAAAACCTTATCAGTTACAGGGGAGTTTTTCATTAGAAAGTCAATGCAACCATACCTGTTATTGTTTTAAGCTCACTCCATTCAAACTTCTCAAGTGTTCTATTTCCTTTTACTGTAACAATATGTGGCCTTTCTAAATGGCCTGCAGGTGGTTTATACCAGCAAAACTACACAATCAAAGGAAAACTCTATGTCCGAAAATGCATTTATTTTTTAATGATATATTATTAATCATTTTAAAAAATTTTATTTACTAAAATTTTCAAAAACATTTTTTAAGTCCTTTATTGTTACCTATCAGCAATAGTTGCATAATGGAACTCTGCTGCAATTAAGATCAACACCCTTTTCCTAGCATTTATATCCTTTTTAGTGATGACCTAGCACTTATATCCTTCTTAGTACTGAGCAATGTACAGTCAAACACTTCTCATAAAGAGGAATGGATGATAAATCTCCAGTTCAGTGCCTCTCACAGTGATGGGTGGCTTTGTTGACATTTACCAATTTGTTGGAAAAATTCCTCAGGGAAGGGAGGAAGTTAAAAAAACAAACAAAAAAAAAACAGATATTTACCAGATATTGTCAAACAGAGTACTCCAGCTCGTAGGGAGGCAGCCCTACAAAAAAAACAACAAAAAAACAACTATTAATCTACTTTGTAAAACATTATTAAAACATTATTAAAAAGAAAGGGTAAACGGACAGGGAATATGCACAACAACTTAGTTAGGCTAAGTGGTTTTGGTTTTATAATGCAGAAGGACATTTTGAGACATACAAAAATATATAAAATATTATTCTTGACTTTTATTCTTTGTAGCCAAAATGTCTTTAAAATAGAATTATCTTACTTTTGCTTTCACAATTATTACTGCTTAAGAGATATTCACTTACAAAAAAGGTTATAATTTAAAGGAAAACTGTTAGAAATACAAATATTTAAAGCTAACGCTATAGTGTTCCTCCACCTATAGGTGGTTGCCCCAACTCCCTGCTGTGAGGCATTAAAAGGTGACTATTACCTTATATCCCTCAGTGCACCAGTCTCTGTGTCAAAGCTCATCCTTATTGATTAAAATGCTCAATCCAGATGATTTCATAGATTCCAGTAACTTCCCATTGAAAAGCATTATGAAGCTAGTTCGTACATGCACTCTGTGAGACCATCAGATTGAAATATCTGAGCTTTGCTTGGCTATTTTGGAGGAAGCACCTCTAGTGGCTGTCATTGTGAGAGCCACTAGAGACATTTTAACTCTGCCATGAACAACAATGTTTTCAGTTACAGGCTTGAAACGACAGGGGTATTGGATTCAAACCATTTCATTGAGATGAAGGGTTCTGGGTGCCTATAGTGTCCCTTTAATTTAAGAGCAATTTATTTTGTTGTAGGCTCCAACTTTTGAATAGTTTCCTTTAAATTTATCCAGTTTGTAGTATTATGTTTTAGCACTAAAGCATTAAGACCCATAATAATTTTTAATTCAAGCAAATCCATTAGAAATCAGGTTTCTAAGGGTGTGAATGTACGTGTTTATCAAGGAGTCCAATGAGTTAAGGTCAAGTAGACTGGAACATCTCTGATTAATAAATCATACTCAAGCATTGTGAAATTGTTTTGTTATTCACAAATTCCCTTAGATCAGATTTTCTGAAACATATCATCAAAAAGCAAATAAATGAAATGACTGACTTAATTTTGCAAATGATCTGTTTATATAAATTGTCAAGACTAAGAAGCAATAGTACAATAATTTGTACATGATAAAATTATCAGTCAACTCTGAATTAGCATCTATTTTTCAGTGGTTTTAGCTAGTGAAATCCTCTCTTACTATTTCAATCACCTACTACTGCTCGATGAATTTTGTTGCTTGGTTTTCTTACCAAATTGGTATTCTAATTGTGAATTTGTTCATGTTGTGAATAATGGTTGATGAATATAAACGTGACTGCAGAGTTCACGCATTGCCAATCACAAATTTGAATTAATTTACCAAACTGGCTGGGGAAATAGCTGTACTAGCTTAAGAGTACATCTGAAATGGAACAGAGAAAAAAAATACTTTCAACAAATACCCATATATTAATGAGTACCATTAAATTGGGTAAAATTAACAACCCCTGGATTTTGGGCTAAGGTAACATTTCCAGGACGTACTTGAAAACCAGAGTAATCTGAATGTACCTTTCCTGGTTAAATACTTTGTTATTATTATTATTATTATTATTATTATTATTATTATCCTATATGCTACAAAGAACTCAGGTAACATAAATAAAACAAATGAAAACCATATATAAATATAAAATAATAATTATCTGCATATTGATTTATGTGCAATTTTTTTGTAGTGAAATTTATTTATATTTTTTGTAACATTTTCCTTCTTAGTGCTTTGAAAGGAAATATTTTACACTTTTACTAGCATGTACAATTTTCTGACATGTTACAGTTTGCAAGTTAGATCACTAAGGGTCTATGTTCATTGTCAGCTTGACCATAATATCTCAGTAAACTTGATGAGTGCTAATGAAAACCTTTTAAATATTCCATGATGTCTCTCTATTTCTACCTCTTATGTTAAATTTTGTTTTGAATATGTAGTTTTGTGATACCCTCTGCAACAGATTACAAGTCTAGAAAATTATATGTTGAAATTCCTTTCTGAATGCACAAACAGTTGAAACTGTTGATCTGTTGGTTGATATGTCCTTTTTTGTGAATATGTACTGGTGTAGAAATAGCTTAGATGATTGATGTATTGAGTGTAGTGTTTGTTTATTCAAACCTCAGGTTTTATCCTGATAGGGTTGCCTTAAATTATCATCAAAACTATGTCATCAAAACAAAACACTCAGCCCTCAATGAATACTGTCCTAGCAACCTACTTTTCTACCCTACCCTTACATATTGTGTCACTGTACCCCACTCCCTCTAGCATGTAAGCTCATTGAGCAGTGCCCTCAATCCCTCTGTTCCTGTGCGTCCAACTTGTCTAGTTACAAATATGTGTCTGTTAGTCCACCCATTGTACGGCCCTACTGAATTTGTTGGCGCTTTATAAATAATAATAATCCATCTGAAGTTAATATAATGATATGTACAAAATATTTTGATCAAATTGTGAGTAAAATTTCAGACATGGCTTACAAGATACAAGGTAATGAATAGAAAGATGAGATGTAATTGTGTAGTGGATTGTTGCAAAACCCTAGGTCAATGGTTCCGAACCTTGTCTTCAAGGCACACAAATGATCCAGGTTGTGTCTGGCACCCTATAATAGAAGAAATTGAAAATAACTAAATTTTGGACTGTTAGTTTGCTTTGTGGACTGAGTATGGAGTGAGCAACCTAGGAAATAGAGTAACTAGATTAACTAGAAGAGGGCCATCCTTAAGTGTATAAGAGAATAATGGGAAATATACAGACGGTTGTCTTTAAATGGAATTTAAACCCACCTATATGGATAATATAATGTAAGGAGACACTTCTTCTATCTTCAATCTGCAGCATATAATTATTAGACTAAATTTAGTTCACACAAATCACTTCACCGGTAAAAAAAAAATAAAAATGGGTAGGCAAGTTGGGCTACGTCCATGGAGCATTGCAATATTTTGGTTCAGATGATTTTCATCCATGCAATTGTTTCGGGAAAAACTATTGAGATGAAGCAAAATGGCATGAAAATAGCCCAATTAGTGTAACGCAAAATATAAAATGTATATATTTCACAGTACACTTGTAGGCGCATTTTGGTACACAGGTCAAGTGAGAAGAAGTATATGATTAGAAACAAATACAGATTTTAATTTACTGCTCCTCCTTTTTCCCTCTATTGGTTATTTCTCACATGACCGTTGAATAAAAGAAAAATTTAGTGTCTGCCCCCTAAACATCAATCATGTTTTTTTCACATGAATGATCGTTTTTTTGTTGCAACAGGTGGAACTTCAAATCGCACAAAATGGTTTTGTGCATTGTCCATTTAATTTATTTTGTGATTTGTCTATATAGAGTTTTGGAGTTCAGTCACCCAAAATTCAAACAAATCCCAATTTGTTTGAAACTGAATGCACAGGTCTAATAATTATATTATGTGCTGATGTAAGTCTAACCCCAAAGTACTAGTGTAGTGTATGCATATAGTTCAAGT